CAGTCCAGTTCAGCCCAGTCAGTCAGCTGGGGGTATACCCCAGCTGCAGCCTGTTTTCCATTCATTCTTCATTTGCACAGTTTGGAGTACGTGCGTGTTGAGTCCGTGTCGGAGTTGCGCTGTCCCTTCCAGCTGCATCTCCATCTCCCTCATCCTCATCCCCTTCATCATGATCCTGACAGACCACCATCCCGACGGGCCCGTCACAACTGGCCACATTACCGGATAGCAGGTGAACTGCTGCTTCAGACCTCAAACTTTGCAGATGGACTATGCGCTCTAAACGACGAGCCTATCTGAAGTATCGGGAGAGTGCCACGACGTAGAGGGTCATTTCGGGTGGAAGACCTTCGCTAAGTTATTTCGATGGTTTGAATGGCCCAGAATGATAGCAGATTGCAACCGGTGTGTGCATGAGTGTCAAGTGTGCCAATGCAATAAGACTACTACGCAGGCCCCACTAGGACCATTGGAACCATTACCGTTTCCAACGGGGCCAGCAGAATCAGTCTCTATCGACTTCATGGACTCCTGTGTAGTTAGTCGGAACAGGAATAGTCATATTAGGGTTATATTTGATAGGTTCAGTATGTATGCTATGTTCGTACCATTATAGAATCAATACTCTTTTTTTTTTTTTTTTTTGTAAAGAGAAAACGATCCAATCTATTCGTAAGGAGCAGGACGTGCTGGGAATTGGGCCCAGCTTCCCATGTGAAAACATATGTAATAATGATACATATTTACAACAATTTGGAGTACCGGAACCATTACCCGGCTTCGGCTAAGAATATGATCATGTACCATCTCCAGAATTCGCGAGATCAAGACTACCAACCCTAGCAAGGTATCTGACCTCTTCCGGCAATCCTCTGTTAACCTCTGAACTCCCCAAAAAAGCGAAGGGTTGTCCAAGAGAAGGAAAATGCAGCACATCAAAACTGCCCTACTCTCTGCCAGGCTCATCCAGGCCTCCCACTCCCATACTGCTAGGTTACAGAGCAACACGACTAACTCCAGCACTGGCCAGCATCCACCTGTAAGCAACCCCCGGCTGCCCTCTAAGATGCTAGCTCCAAAGTATCCCCAGATCTCTCTACCAGGCCTTAGGCCCCCGCCTCCCGAGCAGGTTACAGGATAGAATACATTAATTGTGTGTGACTGATCATGTGGTTATGCGCTTGATGTTTTTGTACGTACGCTAGGACAGAAGCAGATGATATTATCTTAGATGATGTGATTCCTTGGGTTGCGGTACATCCCAACAGGTTGTGACAGAGATGGGGAAAACAAAAAAATGGTTGTGACAGAGATGTATAGTATCCAGTTTTAGGTTGTCATCCACAATGGTGGCATAGAGCGATTGCTTTTGCATGTTTGTTGCTTATTAGCACGCAAAAAGCAATATATGGATGCAGTGGCTTTGTTTTTCCGCATTTTCAGCGAACTGTCTCTCAGTAAAGAATGAGGCCAGAGTGCCTGGACCCCACTGCTGAAAGACCTGAATGATGTAAGGGACACTGAGCCCGCTTCCCAACTCCTGTATATAAAAGGATTGATGTTTTCAAAAAGGAAAAAAAGAAGAAGAAAAAAGAGTGGGGCTGGTAGGGTAAGGGGGTGGAAAATGCTAGCACAAACTTGGTCCCCTTCTAGAGGTGTTACATCTTAGGCCAACACTCGGGGCCGCACAAGGTGGCATGCCAGTTGTTCAGTCCCAAACTGGGGCCCAACAGCCTGGAACGATGTTGCTGGGGTTGTTCATCACAAATTAGGAGGGGGCAGAAGGGATTGGGGATCTGCATGACGGTTCTGGTACATTTTTTGACATGCGGGAGGTAATCTGTCATCCCCCTTACGGTGCCAAGGTGCATGGTTCCAACACAGAGATGCAGTTGGGACCAAGGACCAGCAGTTCGGTGGGGCCTACCCATAGCGCTACCATCCAAGCGTGTGAAAGGAAATAGAGGGAGAAGGGGGCAAGAGTTGGCTGTCAGTGAGCAGGACAATGTGGACCATGCACAAAAGCTTGCGAGGGTGGGGTGGGGTCAGAGGGCATAAAGTCTAATCAGCCACCGGTGATAAGCGGTCACCAGAGACCTGTACCAGAGGTTCTATGGTGCCAACGTGTCTACTGCCGTGGCAGGAACATGGCTGCCACTCGCCCACCCACTGTGGAGGCAAGGACGAAGTTGTAGGATATAGCCGCGGAGTCGCACTAGACACTTGGATCTCCTGCACCGGTTTGACAGCTTAGATTCAATCATTAAAGTCGTAGTGAGTGTCTCCCTAGCCTCAGAGGTGCCTTGGACTACCTGCGGGCCTCTTTTCTGGATGAGAAACAGCCTGCTGCGTCAGTCCCAGAGGTCACTGCCCCAGTTGGGGCCCAGTGAGTGAAGGACATGCACCATGGGTTAAACCACCACGGCTTGGACATCCCCCGAAACCAAATTTCTAGAGAAGGGCGGATACAGAAAGTTGACAGCTTAGATTCCATGATTGAAGTCACAGTGTGGCTTAGAGTACCTGCCGGCCTCTTTCCTGGACTAGAAACAGCCTGCTGCGTCAGTCCCAGAGGTCACTGCCCCAGCCGGGGCCCCGTGAGTGAAGGACATGGGCCATGGGTTAAACCACCACGGCTTGGACATCCCCCAAACCAACTTTCTAGAGAAGGCCACATACAGAAAGGCTATCTTTTGCCACTCAGTATACTGGCTGTATAAAACTCCGGGATCATGGTGCTTTGAAGGATGTGGGCCATGGCTGGGGTTGGGGGATAGAGGTGGTCCCCATCCGGTGCTCCTTGGATGCCAAACTGGCTCCTATTGCTATGACCTAATTCCCACCTCTTGTGTATTGTGGAATGCTCTGAAAGAAGGGTTCAGGTGCTAAGGGACCTCTTTCCTGCAGGTGAAACGGATTGCGGATTTTGATCCCAATGCCCACAACCCCAGCAGGCCCATGACCACTGGCCCTTACCAGCATGGCCCACAACTATTGGCACTGGCAACCCCACATGGACAACTGTCCCAGACATGTCCCGACCGGGAGTGCAGCAATGATCATGCCTGGATAACCATCCACCATGCATCTCTTTTTTTAATTTTAATTTTTATTATTATTATTTATTAAAAAGAGGAGCCCGGGCTGTTGTAGAGGCCAAGGACTAGATGCATGGTGATAGCTGGCAGCTGCAGCCCATGGTTGTCCTGACAGGATAGGCCACCTCCCTACCCTCCCCACACTTCTTTTTTTTTTTTTTTTAAATTGAAACTTCGTATATGGGAATCTACTTCTTTTTTTTTTCTTTTTTTTTTGAAGCCCAGGGTGTTTCTGAGGCCAAGGACCAGATCCGCGGTGATTGCTAGTAGCGGCAGCCGATGGTTGTCCTGACAAGATAGGCCACCTACCCTACCCATCCCCACGTTAACACTTCCAGCGCACCCCCTTTCTCTACTATCCTCCCTCAGTGTGACCAGCACTCAGGACCATCACCCTACCAGTATCGAGGGCAACTTGGACCAGACAGCAGTGACAAGCACCAAGGCTGGGCCAACCTCCCAGCCCTTATGGAAGCAGAAGCGGACGAACCTTGCCGTACGGGAACTTTGGACGCCAGGCTCATGCAATCTTCTACAGGCCCAATTCAGAGAGTCTACCCAGCAGGATTACCTAAGCAAGGCAGGCCAGTGCCCACGGACACATCCTACCGTCCTTCCCCTAGCTTATCCAAGCCTAGGCGGAGCTCAGACTAGCCGGAGCGACTTATATCCCTACCCCTACCCTAGAGCTAAACCATGCGTGAGTAGACCCCGTCATATACCTGATAGACCCCCCCAGCCCAGTATCGTAATTTGTGTGTATGTGTGTATGCCCAGAGGCTATGTATGTTTGTATGAGCCCATAGGGCCATGTGTTTTTGTATCTGCCCGAAGGCTCTGTGTGCTCTGTGTACCTGTTTAGCGAGATGTATGTGCCCGAAGGCCAGATATGTGCAGTCTATGTGTGCTCTGTGTAACTGTATAGCGAGACGTATGTGGCTGAAGGCCAGATATGTGCAGTCCTATGTAGAGGGAACTATGTGTTCGTTTGAAGAGATGACAGGCCAAGCTGGACAAGAACCCCCCCCAAAGTCCCCAGCCAGACTCGAACCCGTGATCTATGACATGTGACCTGAAGACTCTACCATTTGAGCAACAATCGCAAACGGCCTCTGTGTGTGATATGCCAGACTGCGGAGATCAACAGAACAACCACGGCCCCTGTGTGTGATATGCCAGACTGCGGAGATCAACAGAACAACCACGAGCAACAGCCACAAGCAACAGCCACAAGCAACCCACGCAGTATCAAGACCCGACATACAACACCATGGACAACCCTTGGGTGGTGCGCAGGCAGTGTCTGTATAAGCTTACCGTGTGTCAGCCCAAGGGAATGTGTGTCCAGCCGTGCATCATTCTAACGCCCTGCCGGTGTCAATGCGCAAGGCTGCAATTGAGTTTTGAACCCGCAACCTCATACCACAATGCGCATTTCCAACCGGTGCTCTAACCACTAACGAGGTGATAAGAGCATCCCTGGTAGGTAGGTCCCGCCTTCGAAGGCTCCATCTATTGGTGGGGAGCTACACCTGCTGGAAATCGGGTCCAGCGTCCCTGTACAATGATGTGAATGTATCTACTGGAAATCGGGTCCAGCGTCCCTGTACAATGATGTGAATATATCTGCTGGAAATCAAGTGCAGCATTCCTATGCAGAGCTGTGTAGATATCTCCAACTCCCTGTGTATGTCTTATCAATCAGACGGAACCCTAACTTTGATGTGACATGTATTACAATGATGTGATGTGTGTCCACTGGAGATCGGGTCCAGTGTCCCTATTCAGTGTTGTGTAATTATGTGCACTGGAAATCGAGTCCAGCATCCCTATACAGTTGTGTAATTATGTCCTACAGTCAGAGACTGTCTGTATGTGTGCAAAATCCATATAAGACAACATCCAATCTGTCTGTATTCATTCATCGATCTATACATGTCCCCTAAGTGAACAGCCCAAACCCTTAGCACAGCACCATAGTAAACGAGACATCAAGCCCAATTCTATCAAACAAACCAGAAAAGGAACCCATGAAGCATATATCCCGTATGTGTGAATAGTGTGAGTAGTTGTCATATCGCACCTACACTCGCTATCAAGGTCAAAACGTCAAAATGTAATTATCAGGAATCCTTTCCTGGTTAAGAGTTGAGGGATTGAGAGATAAGAGGTGATCAACCCTCATTGACGCAGGGAGATCATCTATCCTGTCCCTACACGATTGCAGGAGAGAAGCCACAAATCAGCATGGGAAATCACTAGATAGGTGGGGGGGGGGATTGGTAAGTCGCACCTTCAACCACAAACCCCACTTCGCCAACCCCAACAAGCTACTACTCCCCCCCCACTGCGCTGATTGCGACATCTTCCCCATGATGCTGATCAGCAGCTTGGATGCACAACAAACCCTCTCTGTCCCGCTGCTCCCGTGACTGTCGTTGCCGCCGTCGTTGTGGTTCTTGTTGTTGTTGTTTTTGTTGTTGTTGTTTTCATTATCGCCGTCGTTATTGCTGTGGTTGTCGACCTTCACACCCTCATTGCTCATTTCGCCCAATCCCTCCTCACCATCGTTGTTGTTATCAGTGTTGTTATTGTTATTGCCTCCATCCTTCACTCCCGTCTCGCCCATTTCGCCCATAGTCTGCTCGCCGTCGTTGTCGAAGTTGTTATCGTTGTTGTTGTTGTTGTTGTTGTTGTTGTTGTTGTTGTTGTTGTTGTTGTAGTTGTTGTTGTTGTTGCTGTTGTTGTTGTTGTTGTTGTTGTTGTTGTTGTTGTTGTTGTTGTTGTTGTTGTTGTTGTTGACACTTGTTGTTGATGTCCACGTTCCCACCCTTCTCGCCTATCTTGCCCATTCCCAGCATCTCCTCCACCACATCCGCCGCCTCTATCATGAACCCCTGCTCCGCCTCCCACTGATCTGCCTGGTCTCCATCACCCTGCTGCAGATGAGCGACCCCATCGTTGTTGTTGTTATCATCCTCCTTGCCCGTCGCGCCGATTTCAGCCATTTGCTGCTCACCGTCGTTGTTGTTGTTGTTGTTGTTGTTGTTGTTGTTGTTGTTGTCATCAACCTTCCCACCCTTCGTGCCCATCTCGCCCATCCCATGCCTCTTCTCCATCACAACCACCGCCTCTGCCAAGAACCCCTGCTCCACCTCCCACTCATCCGCCTGGACTCCATCACCCTGCTGCAGATGAGTGACGGCGTCGGCAATCTCGGTGCCACCCTGAAATGAAAGCGCCATCAGGTTCTCGCACCATCCTCCAGCCCCCTCCTCATGTTCATCCCTGTCCCCCACATCCCCTTCACAGTCTATTTCACTATCTACTTCCCAGTCCACACACCCTGCACAAATATTAGCGTTGTAGCCGACCACGTCTTCGTCATCTTGCCCACCATCCTCAGCATACGAGACGTCGTCGTCCATGTAGAAAAGAATATCTCCGTATTGCAACTCCCCCACCAACTCCATCGTGTTCCCGAACGGCTGCGCCGCCATGTTTGTCGTCGTCTCTCTCTCAGCTGGCGGTACCCCTGCCCGCGCGTCTCAGACAGCCACGTCACCAACAGCCAGCGCCACGTGGTCAATCAAGGAGCCACGCACGTGTGCTGGGCGTGCACACAGGCCCAGCGTCCGAGGAGCTTCCCTCCCCAGTCGCCAGTCGAGCCGGAGGAACCGGGTCTCACCGGTCCGCCGGCGTCGGGGCGCTAGCGTAGCGCAGTATCCGTCGCCGACCTGTCACACACCATGCAGCTCAAGTCATAGAAGTGTGGGACTGATGTCATGACCTTTTTTTCTTTTTTTAACAAAAACTTCCCTTGTGGGTGCTAGTGGTGTTGATAAAATCAATCACTGCTAGCACCCCCAGGGAGACTGTCTATTGGTGAGGAGTATCACCTGCTGGAAAGTGGGTCCAGCGTCCCATAAACATCAGATTTTCAGTGAATGTCTGAGGAGTATAGGCATGAGGTCTGCCAGCATAGATTACCCTGGAAGTTTTGGAACCCAAGGGATTGACTGAGCAGCCATAATGGGAGAAAATTGAGGTATGGGAGCAGCCTCTTCTTTCTTTTCAGATAAGACAACAGATAGAGTCCAAATTGCAGGCTGGGGCAACTCAGGGGCCCGGGATCCCGGGGCTCCCGGGGCAACTCAGGGGCTCGGGCTACGAGTGCACCCAATTGACCAAACCACGCAGGCTTGACCAGGGTGCCTTGAGGTAAGGGAAACCAGTCTGGGAAGCTCTCCGGGGGAGGCAGCAGGATATTGTGGTCCATCACTGTCCAGTTCCTGAAGATGAGCCCGTTATCCTCTGGGCAGGGGGTCCGCTGGTCTTCTTGCTGCCAACCGCACCACTCCACTCTTGCCTGATGTCACGACCTAATGGTCATATTGCACCCTTGTGTGTCTTTCCTTTTCTCGAAAGGGCAACAACTACCATCAAATGTGTAGCCAACAGGTGTTGTTCTCTTGAATCCTCGCTGACTGATTGGCACATGTAGATAGATCTGCAGACTCCATGCTGTCCCCCTCAGCAGCAAGGTAAGGAACATCTCCACAACACTCCTGTGACCTCCAACATCACGCCCTGTGCTGTCTTCCAGTCGGAGTGATAAAAATATGTGGAACAGGCCCTGAAAGAACAGCAAAATGGGGTGCGCCAAGGATTTTTGGGAAAATTGAGTGTGGGGACACAGACAAAACTGAAATCCCCCGTGTGGTTCCAGTTTAGTGAGAAATGGCCATAGCCACGCCGAAAAGAAATAGTGCTCGCTTCTTTCAAACGTTCGTTTAATCCAAAAAGTATCTATGAACTTCCATGCGAGAGACGAGGATGAGATCACCTGACCTTGCTGCTCTCTTCGAATTGAACGATACTCGTCCTCAAGAGATTCGATTGAATTCAACAAGATGAGCGGGACAGGACCTCAGGAGTTGGTAGAGACGAGGGAGTCATTAGAATATTCAGACATTCATGAAGAAAATATTGAGAAAGAGTGAGAGAGAGGGAGAGGTAAGGTCGAAGGAGGTGGACGGAGCCGTAGCTTAACCGAAGAAAGGGACTAAGGAAAAAAGGAGTTATGAGCACACAAATAGATCTGAGAAACAAAACCGGCAATCCGCCGTGGACTTAGCTTCCAAAATAAGAGGAACTGAAGATCAAAGGCTCGCAAGCCTTTTGCTCTCTGACTATGACCCCAGGCCATGCAACCACTCATACACATACACCTTCCTTACCCAGGTACCGGCGATCTCGGCCGCCATAGACTAACTTTCATACCACAGCGATCGTCTCCCCGCCAGATATCTACTTCTGGACACTAGTACCTCCCTCCCCCCGTTTTGCCTGATCTGTTTTTTGAGGTTACGACTGCCCTGTATGAGAGGACTACTGTCTGCCAGCATCGATTACCCAGGGGATTAACTGAGCTGGCGTTCTTGGGAGACTACTCCACTATGCTGTTGCTGCCTAAGGAAACCTCTTCAACCCCATAGGGGGCGCCTGATTAGCCTGAAAAATCTAGTGCCCTTTAGGCCAGATACAATACAACTCTTTTCTTACTCCTTCCCAAACCACTGCATATTAGCAATTGTTGTGGTTGCCGGGGGGAACATATCTGGAAATTCTCCTGGACTCTTCATCGGAATGTCGAGATTGACCTGAAACCATTCGTGGAAAACGAGTTTGCTGTCCTTTGTGAACTCAAAGCCTCCCCTTGCGTTCCCTCCTTCCCCCGGACAAACAATGTGTGCCATCCTGCCTCCCCTTTCCCCTCCCAGCCAGTCTGCGCATAAGTTTTTGATTTCTTTTGTAATGTCTGCTTTCTATGTCAAATGCATTATTTTTTCCTGTATTTTTTTCCATTGCACTCTTAATTCTGTTTCTATGAATTGTCTGAAAATTTTCACCGCTTCCTCTTTCCCCAACCTGGCCCCTTCCTGGTCGAACACACAGCTTTTTGTCCATAACATCCAAATCATCGCTTTCCTAGCCGTGGTGAATAGATTGTTGGTGTAGCCGGGGGCTAGCTGCTTTCCCCATTCTCCTAGTAGGATTGTTTCCCATTTCCATGACCATTCCTCCTCAGTGCCCAGTTGGGACCAAATGCGATCCCACCAGCGCCACATTAATACCGCCCCTGGACACTGGAGGAAGATGTGTTCTATTGATTCACACACTTTGCAGCTCGGGAATCCTGCGTAGCATAATTTACACCATGGAAGAGCCTCCCCTTTCTGTTTCAGGTTGGTTTTGTCAATGATCCACTTGTTGGTGAGGAGGCATCTATGAGTGATCTGCCACTGCAGGGCGGCGAGTTTTGCTGGTCTCTCTTTTGCCCCTTTAAACCATTTTATTCCTTTTATCTGGTTGTCGCCCAAATTTAAGTGTCTCTTCCATCTCTCCCTGACCGCTGTCTTCACATCTACCTTAGGTCTAATCATCCTGTAAGTGTTCTTTACCGTCAGACCAATGAGCTTTACTTTATGACCCGTTCGGCCTCTCTCCCATTGCCATTCAAACGGATCTAGGGCAAGAGTGGACAGGGGGACTTCCGGGCGATAAGCTTGTCATTCTGTTCTGCCTCCCTTGTGTTTTTGAAATACCCGGATACGATATAGGTTGGCTTTCTCGTGCCACAGGACTGTGTCCGGACGGTACCTCACCAGGGTGTCATCCCTTTTTCTTTCAAATAGATTCACCATAGCACCAACATTTCTCACCTCCATGATGCACCCTATTTCAAGGGGAGAGTCTTCTACCGTGATAGCCACCCAGTCATGTTCCTGAAAGCACTGTCCTCTTCTCAGGATCACCACCCATGCTAAGGGTATGGAGAATATCAGTTGTTCCAACCTTTCTGTTAGGTTACGAGCATGTCGCAGAAAGGGCTTTAGTTGTTGGGTAGTTTTCCAATCTTTAGATATCTCGTCCCATACGTCCCTTATTCGGAGGATCCCATTTCTGATCCACGTAGCCCATTGGGGGTCCGAGCTGCCAAACACCCTGCCTTGACGATCTGTGACGGACCTGTTCCCAAATAGGGGCTGGCGCATGACTTCTTCGAACCTTTCTGGGGAGGGCTTATTTGGGCTCGGCAGCCTTCTCCAATTGTTGATTTGGTTGGCCCAAAATTTGTTTTTTACTAGGTCTTGCCTTGCTGCTCCTCTATCACCTTCCTCCCGCGAGTGTGCATGGGCTCAAGGGATGGACCAATATCGGTCCTGAATCCAGGTCAACGGGTCTATTCCCGGGGCAATTCTTGGGGCCAACCTACGGATCTGTTCCTTGGCCAGATTCCTCCATGGGGGGGTAGTGGCCAAAATCAGTCTTTTAACCCATTGGATTGCTAGAGCCGTAGTTTGCAGCGAGGGATCCAGCAGTCCCATTCGTCCTTTTGTTTTGGGCTGGATCAACATGTCTCATGCTACCCGGTTTATAACTGTATAACATGCTGCTGGTCCGAGTCCCCCCTCCAAAGGAAGGCCGCTAGTTGCTTCTTGAAGGCTTTGGTGCTACTCTTACCAAAGTGTCAGAGGGCTGACTTGTACCAGATTGCTGCCAACACCTCGTTATTAATAATCAGCGCCCTCCCAAAGATGAACGTGTTTTTGTTCTTCCATTTGTGCATTTTTTTTAGTGTTGTTCTAGTGATTCATTCATCATTCTTTCTCGGTGGTCCCTGCGCTGAGAGAGCCACCCCCAACACGTGAATTTGTTCCTCAAGGGTTCTCCAGTCCACCTTGGGCTGCTCCAGGGGACGATGTTGCCTGATGGCTCGAATACCCTGAGGTGGGGGGGATTGGTAGGGAGTTCCTGAATGGGGATGAAGGCAGGAAGAAGGAGAGTGCGAAGAGTAGTGTTGGGCGGGACCAAGATTCAGACCAAAGGGAGCAGGAGAGAAGCACGAAGGGAGAGGGGATGAAAAACAGTTATAGATGGAGGAAAGAAGGCGTGAAGAAGAGAGAGGTGAAGATGGCATTGGGATAGTGGGAAGCGGGGTGAGTTTGCATACATGGCACCGACACAAAAACAAAAAGGCACTAAAACAGTTATGTTCCGTCCATTCTAGCTCTAAAACTAATTCAAGATTGAGAAATTCAAAAACGATATTTGCTTGTGAGATTGGACGCGGGAAAAATCCTACGTCTATTCAGATCGTACTTCACAGAGCCTTCAAGGGAAATTTAGGAACATTCACTTACAAGAAAGGACATGTCAGCGGGAAGTGCGGCCAGAAATTTAGGAACCTCCAACTACCGAACGAAATTCATAGTGCGCTCACTAAGGCGCACATCCTATGTAAATTCATGGATCGCCGGAGAGAAATCGCAAAACGTCCTCTGAAAGAAAAACAACAAGTTTCAAAAGTGGGAGGGCCTCGTCGACCATTAATTTCATGCATACCACCAACCAAAAAGAAGGGTAATCCTAAAGCCCATTAAAGATCGAAAAAACACTAATAACAAAGCTCAAGACTTATGAAGTTCGCTTGGGTACAGAAGCCGGTACGTCACATATGTGACGTTCGAGGGGTTCCAAAATTATGTTATCTCGTAATGACATGCACGAAGGTCAGGAAAGGCTAATTTACATGAGAAGGAGGAGAGAGAGAAGATCATAGTTGTCACGCAGGTAGCCCCACGGCCCAAGTCGAGGTAAGGGTTTCATCCTCGGACCC